AGTATATCAATGTCAGTCAATAATTCTATGAAAATCACGAGGAAAACTTGTAAAAAATCCTGGTAGCCCGAGTAATAACACAGGGAGACCAACATGGTAGAACATATTAGTATATCAATGTCAGTCAATAATTATATGAAAATCACAAGGAAAACTTGTAAAAAATCCTGGTAGCCCGAGTAATAACACAGGGAGACCAACATGGTAGAACATATTAGTATATCAATGTCAGTCAATAATTCTACAGAAAAACAAGAAATTTTTTTTTCTTAAAGCAAGATCTTGGTAGACTTAAACGTAACAATACTAACCCCGGAAGGAAGGGGTAATGAGTATATGTCACATAGCTTCAGTTGGAATTACCTTTGATTCTTCGCTCTTGGGTTACCTGTGCCTTTTTAACCAAGCATCTGGAAGATACAATGTTTATTTTTTTAGCAAAACCTTGTGAGAGAATAAATTATAATCATGGGCTTCCTGTGTTATTGCGGTTTTCGGTCACCACAGGAAGACCAACTATTTTTTGTCCACTTACGCGATAATTCGTTCAACGTAACCAGAAGCAGAGCAAACATCCATTGGAAAAGCCTGGAGAAAATTCTTGACCGTCTTGTCGTATTCTTCTCGGTTTTCATGGATTCTGTTGTCAACAACATGATGGTCGAATCTTGACATGAACTAAAAGAAAAGAAAATCGGACAGTTTTCGTATCAAGTCGTTTGGACTCATGCAAAACTCGTATCACTGTCGGAAAATGTAAGACTACTTCATTATCGTTTCTTAACTTGAGCCAAAAGGAAATAAAGTCGGGCAGTTGTCGCATCAAGTCCTTTGAACTCGTGCAATATTAGTATCGCTATCGGAAAATGTACAACAATGCAAATAAATAGCAAATAAAAGTGAATCTAAAAAAGACAGGCGCGGGGCAGGGCACTCTGTCAGAGTATATATACATAAGATCAACATCAGATACCATAGGGAAATTATATAAGAAAACAAAAACGCGCGCGAAAAAACTTTTCTATTGCATTTTTCATTGATTTTATTTGCTCTTTCGCATTAAAGAGAACATTATCTTGATCTCGAATTTAAAAAATAATTAATTATTTAATTTTTCCGATTTTATTTTCACCATTCACTTTAATCTAAATTGGGCTCTCTGTGGAAATGATAATAGCAAACAGTACTAGCTATTTGGAATCAAAAATATGAATTTTAAAAATACCTAACCGTTAGGAGATCGTTACATGAAATATCTAAACGTTAGGAGATCGTTACTTGAAATACCTAACCGTTAGGAGATCGTTACTTGAAATACCTAACCGTTAGGAGATCGTTACTTGAAATACCTAACCGTTAGGAGATCGTTAC